AAAATACAGTTTATCACTAAATTTTTCAAATACTTAAGTACACAAGAAAATAAATTATCTAATCCGTTCTGCTGGGCGTAGATGAGGCTGGAAGAGGCTACACAGATGAATGACGTTTTATGTTGTATAGAAAGAAACAAGGAGAAAGGAAACGTAAGAGATTAATTTAATGACGTTCTGAGTTGTTGGGAAGAAAAGCAAGGATGAACGGTACGACACAGAACTAAAGGTAAGTATCAGGAGAAAGCTGTCACTATGACATAGCAATTCACGTAACTAAAGACACTCTTAGACGTCACTTCAAAGCAGCAACACGTACAGAGCCACTTACGGACACGCTTTGTGCTGGGTTAAGACAGCAGACGGAAATAAGCCAAAAAAAATATTTTTACAGGTTTTGTTTCCAATATTTCCAGTTTTCGTTTACGGCTCTCCCATTTGTACCAACATTGAAAACTAAGTTATCAACTCTAAACGTCCGAACATCCCTATATTTAATGCTCACTCTACAGAGCACTGGCTCTTCCGGGTGGTAAGTGGTACTGTGGGTTATATTATCTGACTTCCGCGGCTGGAACCTGCAAGCAGGAGAAATCCGATTCCTGCACTTGAGGCTACGGACCTTTATTGGTTTACAATGCAACTATTTTATTCTGGCCACATGGTTTGTATATTTTTGTTTCAATTTCTCATCTTTTTAAATTCCTATGATTAATATTGCTATTAATATTACCCCATAAATTAGTCACCATCATTATTCTTACGACCGTCATCATCCTTACCGCTAATTTTCCCACCAGTATTATTACTTACTATTAATAACACCACCTTTGTCACCACACCCTTACTGTAAATATTACCACCGCCATTAATATTATTAACAACGTAACCGCAATTATTCACTATAATTATTGCAGCCCAGCCTCCTGTTTTGGTAGTACTTAGAGTAACGATGAGGACCACAGTATATATATCGACGTACAACGAAATTAGAAAGTAGTTGTTGTTGTTTTAGGTTCAGCTACTCTGAACATACATTCCATGTAGCACGGGCTATGGTGAGCCCGTAGTAGTAGAAATCTGAACTGTTGAGTTGGACAAACCGGAAAACTATTTTTCACTTGCGTTGCTTTGACAAACTAAACTAACCTCCCTAGGCCTAATACACTATATATGAGGCCTAATATAGTACATACGCGCGCTATACTAAGCCTAGGAATATATAAGTTTGTGTTTTAGCTTCATTTATTTTAGAATAATTCCTTACTAGTCGGTATACTACTATCTAAAAGCTAAGCACGTACGAATTCGTAATTATTAACGATCGTCACAATAGGTGCTATCTAAACAGGATGGGTTGCAGCACTACTCTTACTGCCAGTAGTATCAGAGTAGTCACCTTTATTGCCAGGGTGCAGGGAGCACGCGATACTCAAAGCATTCAAACAAGAATTGTTCAGTCAGGTACCAAAATACTTCTTTTTTTAAGTGGTTCTACACAGAGGCCCGTGGTGCCTCATGAGCGCTAAAGGAATATATACAGTCTTCCACTCGTCAGTTCACTGGGTTATGTATAATGCAAAAATAAATTACCCCTCCATATTGTCAAATGATTACTAACACCATACCATTACCATCGATCCCAGCTGGCAGCCAGCTTACAGACAGCTTAGTATAGCAGTGCAGTAAAGTATATGCCGCAGATTTCCGAAGTACTTGTTTAATCGATTTTTCGTTTAATTATACTTCTTGATAGTCTGTGCCATATGTTTAGTAATCGATTATAGAACAAATATAAGCCTTTGCTTATAACCTATACATAAAGTGCATAAAAAAGTCCGCATCAGAATTATCTACAGTAAATCCGAATCAGGAGTGTCTATCAGAAACTTAGATTAAATGCTGTATTCATAATTGATTTTTGCACATTACAGTTGTGTCAAAGTCCATGTATCATGACAGCCTAACTAAACCCGTGTCAGCAGAGCCTGAGGAGTGCTCTGATCTCCAGTAGAGAGCAGACAATAACAATTTACTCTCCGCCGCAAAACTGTAAGACTTGGCAGGGACTTACCCAAGGCCTGCCTCACAAAGCCATCCGGACGGACACTATTCCTGAGGTGTAGCAGCGTCGTCACCTTGGCGTCGTCTCCGTTACCGTGGCGTCGGAGACCTAAGAGCTTGGAGTCAAGACACTTCCGGCGACCACGTTAATATTCTCAAGTTGTTCTGGTGATGGGAGAAACCAAGACACAAATGTACCGCCTCACAGAATCATAGGACGCGCGGAACGTCAAGAATATATATATACAGTTCAGCAATACCCTGTAACGTCACAGGGGGTGAAGAGCGTCGCGATACGGTGTAACAGAGGAAGTCACACAGGAACATCCAGCACCACAGGATCACTGAGTACCGCCCTCTCCTCTGGCTGACAACACACTGACTTCAGACCGGCCGCGGTAAAATATTTACGAGTGAGCACTCCGCGCATGCGTAGTGAAACTATTCTGATGGCGTTGCTATGATCCCGAGCCTAACAGATGCTTAATATCCGAGCCCACACGTAAGGTGCGCTCAATTAGAGATGTATATGCGTCCTCCAGCTGTTGTTGACTGTTCGTACTGATTGCCTGGGGGGAAAACAGTTTTTTGCATCACTATTTGCACCCCCCACCACCTACTCCTGTCCACTGAATTGCAGTAAATTGGTACCCGGGAGTTAGGCAGCTGTTGTGGGTGGCATCCTGGGGAGGTCAGTGGTTGAGTTAGGGGGACCTTGATAAGCCTAACACCTAGCTTCCTGTACCCGATTAGGGACACCATAAGGTGAACATGAACATGCACTGTTCACTATTACTCTGCAACATGAACATGCTATTACTACTACGAATTTTTTATCCGACCACAATATATTAGGTCAGTATTCTATTGACCTAATTGTACCAGCCGGGCCGAGCGCCAGCTCTTGGTCCCCTCCATTTGAGCTTTCGGTTGCCTCATACAGTGGCTCGATCCCCGGCCCGCTAGATTTTCTCGCATCAACTTGTAAACCTATGAATGGGGTTTACCTCGACCACCTCGTTCCTTAGCTCATGTGATTTACTAACTACTCTTAGCTTAAGTAAAGTTTCCCTATATCTATATGGCTCACCTTTGTCTTGAGGTTATATCTATGTCTTCTGGCTCAGCTGTGACACATGTTAAGAATTTCGTAATCTTCTTTATCAGTGAACCTTGGGATCTTATACTTCGCTATCATGTCTTCTCTGCCCCGTCTCTTGTACACTGTGTGCTTCTGTGACTCATTTGTATCTGCAATTACCACTTGTGGCCTCTCATTCTCACGCCCCAGAACACATATTATGCTGTGTTCTAATAGTAAGCTTTTCTTAAGAAAAGAAAAGGCGAAATCAAAAGAGTAGAAGTGAAGTGAGCGGAGAAGGGTAAGTCAGGTGACAGGGGTAGTTGAGGCTCCAACCCGTTCTCGCACTTTCTTACAGTCAATATTGACTTATTAAATACGTGCATATGTGACATACTAAACATACTAGTTTACCTTGGAAAAACTTCATAGAAAACACCGACCTTACCTAACCTTCTTAGTATGTTAAGATAAGCATCTTATTGCTTCATAATTACAATTATTACTTATCCTATACCTATAATAGGTTAAGTAATAATTGTAATTACGACGCAATAAGATGCTTATCTTAACATACTAAGAAGGTTAGGTAAGGTCGGTGTTTTCTATGAAGCTTTTCAAGGTAAACTAGTATGTTTAGTATGTCACATATGCACGTATATAATAAGTCAATATTGACTATACAAAAGTGCGAGAACGGGTTTGAGGCTCAGGTGACCGTAATGGGCATGGCCTGTTGGGCAGTGACGTTATCGTTGGGCATGTTCATGTCCCAGTCTTGCTCTCACTCTAACGGTGGGTAGAGTGAGTAATTCTGTTATTCGCGTGTTTGTGGTGGTCGGTTGTTGGACGTTTATGTGTGTGGAGCTTCAAGAACTTATAATTTCCTTACATCTTGGGCTTTATCTTGTATGCCAGTGTTTTTATTCTGCATTTCTCTCGTTCGGGTGATGTCTTGGGCTTGTCTCGAGGGATTTTTAGGTTGATTGAAGATGACAGGTCAAGCGGCTCGTGAGCTTGGGCGACGTCATGCCTATGTCCTGAGATTGAAGGTCACATCGTCCGTGGGGGCAGGTGGACATATATACAGAGTTCGACTGTTATTAAGGGTTCTCTGTTGGCTTTGGGCTGTGTTTAATGAGGTCAGTGTTTTTTTTTATTTGATAGTATTGATGATGTCTGTGTTTTGGTTAGCGGTTATGCTTCTTACTCCTTTACGGATTATTTCTTTTATTATTCTTTCTTCTCTCTTGTATTCGCTGTGCTTTGTGGATTTGTAATATAATTTTAGTGGAGGTGTTATGGTTTCTCTTCTTGGTTCAGGGTTGTACCACCGGTCCAAGTGTCGTCTTATAGTAGTGTTGATCTCATGGTTACTATAGCCATTGTTCACTAATACTTATGTCATCCTTTCAAACTCCCAACTCACGTTGCTCCACTCAGCGCTGTGGGTAAGGAATCGACGGACATAAGCGTTGAGAAGACTGGCTCTTTGGTGGCACTCACTGCCACTGTTCATGTCTGTAGGCTTGGTATATACGCTGGTGCCTAGAGATGCTTCTGTGATTGTTATTAACACATTCAGGAAAGGCAGACTGTTATTGTTACTATTCTCATGGGTGAATCGGAGTCCTTGACTCTCTCTTTCTAGATGGCTTTTTTATATTGATTAGTTCTTCTAGCTCTTTTACTATTACATATGTCATCGACATAACGGCAGTATACGCATGGTTTGTGCCTGCTACTGAAGACTTTCTTCGATGTTGCCCACGTAAAAATTATCAAATAGCACTTCTACGGGGAGAGGGCCATTGCTACTCCGTCTATCTGTAGATACATGTCACCTTGCGGTCTGATGAAAGGAGCTTCCTTGTACATGCCTCGAGAAGACTCTTCAGGTGTGGCTCTGGTATGTCTGGTATACACACATGTATATGGTATACACACATGTATATGGTATACACACATGTATATGGTATACACACATGTATCCTAGCTCGCCCAAGACAACACCAAGCACACTCCAGAGTTTGCTGACGCCTTGGGCGTGTTTCAAGACCTTCCAGCAATGACGACCGAAATACCCGAGAGACCCTGTCTCTCTGCGTCGTCTTTTGACAGTCAAGCGTCACGTCTTTCTGACTTTTTATCTTTTCCCCTGAAGATTGTTTGAGTTACGGGCGATAACCACAATCGTCTTGGAACTAACAAGGCCAACAACAGTCACATACACTTGGTAACGCTGCAGCATGTACACTTGGTAACGCTGCAGCACGTCATCTATGGGTCCAGGTGGACCAGATACTGACCAGCAGTTCTCACCTACTTTTATTCACCTAGTTGAGCAGCCCGTCCTCTTAAGGTTTCCCAACGTCAAGAAAACGGTCAACTTAGTGTCCTCTCCTAACCTACCAGAGGACACAAAGCAGAAAACGGGACTGAACGTCACTTTCGTCAGCCGCTTCCCTTTTCTAGTACGAAAGGTTTTGGCCTTAGTTAACGCATACGAACGAAATGTGACGTTCTTTGTAGAACAGGCTGAACTGAGGGCGTTTGAGGGTCAACTCTACCATCCATCTCTTAGAATTGTTTCATCTGCCCTTACCTCCCTCCAGCCCTTCCACCGGCTTCCTTCCACCTGTGCTTCTATCCGTTCCCTTACCTGCTCCTCCTCCTTCTTTTCTGCTTCCCTTCACCTTCCCCATTGCCTACTCGCGCCATCTCCCCGCGAGCCACATGTTAGACCTGGCTGGTGACAGGTGTTGGTACTCAGGCGGTTATCGGCTCAACACGCCGTTTATTCTGTCACGTAGTGGAGTCACTTATGCAGAGTGTTTGTGTAATATATGTTTTTTTTTATAAGAATTGCTTGATCCCACCGTTAGCTGACCGGACGTTGACCTGTGTGTGTGTGTGTGTGTGTGTGTGTGTGTGTGTGTGTGTGTGTGTGTGTGTGTGTGTGTGTGAGTTTAAACTATTTGTACTTTTTTTTACTATTTATATCTGCAGAATATAGCTCTTGGACCCGGGCTTTCTAACTAATTTTTTTCCTCAATTATATCTACTACACATATTTCTCTTACACACGCACGCGCGCGCGAACACACACACACACACACACACACACACACACACACACACATAAGAAGGGGCCTCGTATAGACTCATTCTTGGCGCGGGTTCGATTCCCGCACGAGGCAGAAACAAATGGGCTCAATGGGAGAAAAAAAAAAAAAAAGTAGTTGGTAAACAGTTGATTTGCTGACGACGCCGAAAATTATGAGAAGGATTAAGACAGAGGAGGACAGCTTGAGGCTTCAAGAAGACCTGGACAAGCTGCAGGAATGGTCGAACAAATGGATGTTAGAGTTTAACCCAAGCAAATGTAATGTAATGAAGATAGGGTTAGGAAGCAGGAGACCAGATACAAGGTATCACTTGGGAGATGAAATACTTCAAGAGTCAGAGAGAGAGAAAGACCTGGGGGTTGATATCACGCCAGACCTGTCCCCTGAAGCTCATATCAAGAGGATAACATCAGCAGCATATGCCAGGTTGGCTAACATAAGAACGGCCTTTAGAAACTTGTGTAAGGAATCTTTCAGAACATTATACACCATATATGTCAGACCAATCCTGGAGTATGCGGCTCCAGCATAGAGTCCATATCTAGTCAAGCATAAGACTAAACTAGAAAAGGTTCAAAGGTTTGCCACCAGACTAGTACCCGAGCTGAGAGGTATGAGCTACGAGGAGAGAGTACGGGAATTGAACCTCACTTCGTTGGAAGAGAGAAGAGTTAGGGGGGACATGATCACCACATTCAAGATTCGCAAGGGAATCGACAGGGTTGATAAAGACAGGCTATTTAACACAAGGGGCACACGCACACACAGGTGGAAACTAAGTGCCCAAATGAGCCACAGAGATATTAGAAAGAACTTTTTTAGTGTCAGAGTGGTTGACAAATGGAATGCATTAGGAAGCAATGTGGTGGAGGCTGACTCCATACACAATTTCAAGTGTAGATATGATAGAGCCCAATAGGCTCAGGAACCTGTACACCTGTTGATTGACGGTTGAGAGGCGGGACCAAAGAGCCAGAGCTCAACCCCCGCAAGCACAACTAGGTGAGTAACTAGGTGAGTACACACACACACACACACACACACACACACACACACACACACACACACACACACACACACACACACACACACACACACACACACACACACACACACACACAGGGAGTACCTAAGAAATAGGAAGCAGAGAGTTACAGTGAGGGGTGAGACCTCAGATTGGCGTGAAGTCACCAGTGGAGTCCCTTAGGGCTCTGTACTCGGACCTATCCTGTTTCTGATATAAGTAAATGATTTCCCAGAGGGTATAGACTCATTCCTCTCAATGTTTGCTGACGACGCCAAAGTTATGAAAAAGGATTAAGACAGAGGAGGACAGCTTGAGGTTTCAAGAAGACCTGGACAAGCTTCAGGAATGGTCGAACAAATGATTGTTAGAGTTTAACCCAAGCAAATGTAATGTAATGAAGATAGGGGTAGGAAGCAGAAGACCAGATACAAGGTATCACTTGGGAGATGAAATACTTCAAGAGTCAGAGAGATAGAAAGACCTGGGGGTTGATATCACGCCAGACCTGTCCCCTGAAGCTCATATCAAGATGTTAGACCAATCCTGAAGTATGCGGCTCCAGCATGGAGCTCATATCTAGTCAAGCATAAGACTAAACTGGAAAAGGTTCAAAGGTTTGCCACCAGACTAGTATCCGAGCTGAGGGGGTATGAGCTACAAGGAGAGACTACGGGAATTAAACCTCACGTCACTGGGAGACAGAAGAGTTAGAGGGGACATGATCACCACATATAAGATTCTCAGAGGAATTGATAGGGTAGATAAAGACAGGCTATTTAACACAAGGGGCACACGTACTACGGGACACATTTGGAAATTGAATGCCCAAATGAGCCATAGAGACGTTAGAAAGATTTTTTTTCAGTGTCAGGGTAGTAGACAAATGGAATGCATTAGGAAGTGATGTGGTGGAGGCTCACTCCATACACAGCTTCAAGTGTAGATATAGGTTCCCGAGCCCAGTAGGCTCGGGAACCTATACATTAGTTGATTGATAGTTGAGAGGTGGGACCAAAGAGCCAGAGCTCAACCCTGTTATGATCCCAGGTAGCTGAAAAACGAGTCTACCTTGAGAGTTATTCTGCAAAACCTGACCGAAATAAGAGGTCAGTGAAATATAGACATGGAGATACATACGTAAAATAATTGGTTAGATTTGATAAATAGTTTTTTGAGTATGGGCAGTGATCAAGAATATAAGTAAATGACTTGACATGAGATGTCGAGAGTTTGTGAGGAAGGTAGGAGGCTCAAGGCAGGGGTCTCGACCTCACTCGAGTAGCTGATGTTGTGGGAGCAAGATGCAGTGTCTGTGAGCTCCTGGTAACAGAGGAAGAATCTCATGTTACGTGCTCCGTCAAGAGGAGAATTAGTCAGGCGTTCTTGTATGAAGCCTGGAGACGACTTCGTGCTCAAGTCATGAAGGATAGAAGCCCTGTAGAGAAGTTTAAATGGCACTTTTGTGGGCTGAGGAGTGCGCCAACGTCCGACGCTGGGGCCAGGGCGCGCCCTTGTACAACTAACTCTGGTAAGCACAATTTTAACCAGTTTACAGTGATTGTCTGCAGTTGGTCGTGTGCCCAGCGACCGTAGCGAATGTTTATTGATATGTTAGGCATGTTTTGATGAGGCAGAAGGCCAAAATAAGAGAGTAAAGATGGAGGAACGTCCTGGAGGGCGGAGCGACATCCATCCACTCCGACCGCTGGTGGGCGACTGAGTGAGAGGGCTGCCCGGGAAGCGGAGGACTCCCAGGGAGGGCAGAAAATGGGACCAGCTCAAACGGGGGAGTCCACACTCACGGCAGTCGAAAAGCAGAGAGATGTCAAGTGAAACATTTATTGTGTGTGATTCATGTCGGTAATGCGTTTATAGAGGAACATTTTTATTGGCGTGTCGATGGGCTGCAGGTTTGTCTGGGGAAGGAGTTGCTGAGATCTTGGAAGCCAGCAGAGAGGGAGTAGTTGGTGAGACTCCAAGGTTGTGGAAGGTACTGAGCTCTGTGGAAGAGCAGCCATACAGTGAGGAGCAGGACCTCAAGCTGTGAGAAGAGCAGTGGAATGAAGTTTCACATGCTTCTGTGATGCCAGTAGGTGAAGCACCATTGTTGCTCAAGGAAGAGTTCATGGTGTAGCAGCCGGGAGAGCTGTGGAGAACCCTGGTAGACGGGTCTAGGAAAACCTGAAGATGTCAGGGTAGTGAACTTCCAGATGTGGAAAGGAAGTTCTTATTGACTACTTGAAGGGAGTTGGTAGAGTGTTTGGTTGTCATTAGCGTGTAAGTAGTAGGCTGAGTAGACAGCACTCAGTACTCGTAATCCTGATGATCGGGGTTCGATCCCCGGCGATAGCGGAAAACATATGGGCAGAGTTTCTTTCACCCCGATGCACCCTGTTACCTAGCAGTAAATAGGTGCCTGGGAGTTAGACAGCTGTTACGGGCTGCTTCCTGTGTGTGTGGGGGGGGGGGGGGCAAAAAATTGATAATTGATTGACAGTTGAGAGGCGGGCCGAAAGAGCAGAGCTCAACCCCCGCAAGCACAGCTAGGTGCTTGCGGGGGTTGCCTAACATTCCTTCCTGGGAATGTGCGTGTGTGTACTCGCCTAACACAATTAGGCGAGTACACACACGCACATTCCCAGGAAGTAGCCCGTAGCAGCTGTCTAACTCCCAGATACTAGAAAGACCACTCCCGTAGCCTTTCCTCGTAGCTCATACCTGTCAGGTCTGGGACTATTCTGGTGGCGTACCTCT